TCCCTTGAGCGAGCCCTGCTTGGTTTAGGGTTTAGGGTTTAGGGTTTAGGGTTTAGGGTTTAGGGTCTAGGGTCTAGGGGTTTAGGGGTTTAGGGGTTTAGGGTTTAGGGTTTAGGGTGGAGCTTCATGGGTAGTGGTAAGTGGGTTTGTCGGTAGGGCAACCACAGCTACAACCCAGATTCAGGGACTTCTTCACCCCCTTATCAGGGTTTGGGGTTTAGGGTCTAAGGTTGAGGGCTGAGGATTTAGGGTTTAGGGATCTGGGTTTATAGTTTAGGGCTTGAGGTTTTGGGTTTAAGGGCTTAGAGTTTAAGGTTTACGGTTTAGGGCTCAGGGTCTAAGGTTGAGGGTATAGGGGGGTGAGCATTGGTGGATGACCCTAAACCCTGAACCCTAAACCCTAAACCCCAAACTCTATACCCTAAACCCTAAACCCTAAACCCTAAACCGTCCTCTTCCACAACAAAGCGATCACTTCGTCCATCGCCAGGCTCCTGCCGAATATGCGGATTTCGGATTTCGGGGCTTCGGGCAGGCATCAGGCCCTGGAGCCTAGAAGGGCTTAGGGGTTTAGGGTTTAGGGTTCAGGGTTTAGGCTTTAGGGTTTAGGCTTTAGGGTTTAGGGTTTAGGGTTTAGAGTTTAGAGTTTAGGGTTTAGGGTTTAGGGCTCGGGTTCATGGACCACAAGACCCCAAACCCTAAAGCCTAACGGCATGTTATGCCATAAGCATCTTTGTTACAATACCGAAACAAGGGCCCCCAACGTCGAAACATATTTCCGAACCAGCAGCTGTCGCAAGTTGATTTCAAGGGTTTAGGGTTTAGGGTTGATCTGGCAAGTCAAAACGACAACTACAAGTCTACCCTATCCGCTTTCAGGCATAAGATCGGGGCCTTAATAATCACAATAAGGTTTTGGGGCCCATTATACTATAAGTATAACCCCCCCCACCAACATAATATAGGTAATTAGGACCCTATATTATCAGCTTTCAGGCATACACCCTCGATGTCACCGGTCTGAGCACCCTCTGTCCTGTAGCAACAACCCCCAGACCCACTTCTGATGCCTCCCACTGGCTGCCTTGTTGCACAATTGCGGATTTAGGGTTTAGGGTTTGGGGTTTAGGGGTTGTCACATACTTGCCAATGCTTTTTCTGCTTTGGTCTTACCCATGACTTTAACTACCTTCTGGAAAATCTCTTTCGCGCCTGTACTTGGAAACCATACCACTGCACGCAAAGAGCCCATTGTTGCAACATTTTTCGCCTCGCCCATGATCATGGGTCCTGAGCAGACTAGTTTGCCACAAAGGGCCAAATCAAGTTTTCGCGAACGGCCAGTGGGGGCGTTCTGTGGCAAGTCACATATGCCGTGACAGCACCAAAGGGCTGTCACGCCTGGAGATTTAGGGTCTATAGATAGGGTTTTAGGGTTTAGGGTTTAGGGTTTATAGGTTTTTTTTTAATCACGGTTTGGGGACTAGTCGTCTTTCATAGTTTGCTGATGTCGGATCACACTCCTCGACCCCATTGGCCCCACAGAAGAAGCCACTGAACCAACTGACACATCAGGAGGAGCACTGGGACATTGTTTTTCAAGCCGGAATGGCTCACGGCAGAAGATGCGTCACCAAAGCAGTACTCAGTCTCGTTGACCGGAGTCTCATGGGATAGCAGGCAGCCGCTCGCATTGCATGTAATTGTCGTCGATGTGCTCGAGGTGTCTACGAACATCGGGTTCTCATCGTACACGAACTCGTATAACGGTTCCCGCACTGGATTTTCATCCGCGACACGGAGTAGTTGCTATCACCACCTTGGGTCAGCTTTATGCGAGCGACCGAATACCTTTGCTTGATGGTCCTGAGGCCTACGGAGCCAATCTTGTCGCTGTTCCAGCAGTTACAGCCAATGCCCACATCAGAGTTCAAGTTCACAAAGGTGTTCGAGTCGCCATCAATCACTTCGCTTACTGAGTAACTTCGGATCCCTCTGGAAGGGATATGATAATAAGTATTGTACAACTTGAAACCGCCGTGTTCAAACATCTCCACCTCGTGCAGTCTCCAGCTCGAGAAGCAGCTTGCTTGGATGGGTCCCGCGAGCGTGATTGTGAAGAGATTGTAAGAGGCATTGAACGGGTTGCAGCCGCCAATGTAGGGATCTTTCGTGGTGGTCGTGGTCGTAGTCACAAGAGGCCCATCGCCTTTGGCGAGGGCAAGAGCAACAGCAATAATCCCAACCCTAAACCCTAAACCCAAATGATGCTGCGCAGCCTGTGCCGCTGTCATGGCAGTCACACGCAGCGGGCTGAAGAGGAGCCCTGTCGTTCTTCGTTCAAGATATATTCGGGTTGATCAAAATTATTGACCCCTTTGGGTCCCCTAAACTACAAGGAAGATAGAAGTATACAGACCCCCAAAAAGACCCATAAGCTGGATCAGTCCCCATATGATAGGTTCTGGGTGGTGCAGGCTTTTGAGGCCCTAAACCCTAAACCCTAAACCCGTGAGTTTTTGGGTGCCTGATTTGGGGCGGCTGGCGACTTGAACTGTTGGCAAATGGCATACCATAAACGGTTTAAGGGTTTAGGGTTTAGGGTTTAGGGTTTAGAGAGAGAGAGAGAGAGAAAAGGAGAACTCTCAGGGTTTTGGTTTGCCTGGCGTAAGGTTTTCGTTAGATATCGTGCTCAGCTTCATGCCATGCCCTATGCGTTGGCCGAAAACCCTAAACCCTAAACTCAAACCCCTGAACCCTAAACTCTAAACCCTAAACCCTTAAATCCTAAACGAACCCGGTTTAAGGCTCAGGGCGTCGCTTTTCCGGATACGTTCACGCACGGCAGATGCCGGAGCAGGTTCTCTTGAGGTCTCCTAGGATAGGGTTTAGGGTTTAGGGTTTAGGGTTTAGGCTTCACGCAGAAGAGGAGCTTCACATCTACTGCTTCTAAATCTCAGTACCACTGCCATTACTAGTTCATGGTTGGGGTAGTATTAAAATTTATTATAATAATAATATCAACAATAGAATTAATCATAATAGCACTTATATTCCTTATTGGGTTTAAAGTACCCTTAAAAATAACATTTATATTCCTTATTGGGTTTAAAGTACCCTTAAAAATGTAAAATGTTACCCAACTATGACACAAAGATTAAGTTTGCGTGCTCGGAGATATTTTTGTCGCTGCTACTCTTGAACCCATACATAAACCCGTACAGACCATACGTCAAACTGTCTTCATGGATGCAAGGGCCGTCCTCACATGTCAAACTGTGCAGCCCTTATGATTATGCTCCTGAAAAGTGCGTATTTGGGTGGTATATCAGAAAGTAGACTGGGGGTTCAACTCTAAACCCTTCAAACCCTTACTAAACCCTAAACCCTAAACCCTATAAGCCCTACAAGCCCTATAAGCCGTATAAACCCTATAAGCCCTATAAGCCCTATAACCCTAGAAACTAGAAACCCTAAACCCTATAAGCCCTAAGTCCTAAACCCTAAAGGGGTTTTAGGTTTATGGCTCCGGGGTTCGCTGCTGTCCCTGAGCCCTGGAGTGCACCTGTGCGTTTGGCGGCTGGCCCACCAAACGAACGTAGAGCCCGAGGTTACCCAGGCCTTCCGTTTCAGGTTCTAGGTTTTAGGGTTTGGGGGTTTAGGGTTTAGGGTTTTGGGGTTTAGGGTTTGGGGTTTAGGGTTTGGGGGTTTAGGGTGTATAGGTTTTAAGGTTTTAGGGTTTAGGGCTTAGGGTTTCAGGTTCGGGCCTCATTCCGTATTCCAGGGTTTCAGGGCCCACCTGTAGCCGGAAAGACCTACCTTTTTAGGGTTTCTTAGCATGGTTTCTATTTATAATTCCTTAGATAGGTAGGTCTTTTCGGTCACAGGTAGGGCTTATTTCTTAAGGCTTATACAGTTTAGGAGTTTAGGGCTGGCTCAGACGATTGAAGACAAGCATTTGGAGTACGTGTTGTGGATTCAACGGGCCATCTCGGAACTCTAACCGTTATAATTATAGGGGCCTTAATAATCAGAATAGGGTTTTTGGGGCCCATTATACTATAATCATAATAAAGAACTCCCAAAATAGCCTTGGTAACTCTTAAGGCCCCTATCTTAGAAGGGTTGTCGAAGATGCAGGGTCGTTGTCGTTTCACTTGGCTTGGTGGTTCAGGGTTGTTGGTGGGACTTTGCGGGTCAAAGCGTCTTGGCATGTTGGTAGAGGACTTTGATCTGGCTCTAACTTTGGGTGCCTAAACCCTAAACCCTAAGGGGTTTAGGGTTTAAGGTTTAGGGTTTAGGGTGTCGGATTCTTCGGGTTCAGGGTGTAGGGCAGCATCCGACGCAACCCCGAAAGCTCAAAGCTTGAAAGACCACAAAATCGCTAAGCGGCGAAACCCAGGGTGCTTGCTAAACGACGCTTATTCGATTATTCGTGACAGCACCTTATTTGCAGTCTGCACGTCCCCACTACGCCAACATCAGTTGAAGTACATCACAATGACTTTTTCTGCAAACCCTATCAGGCCAAGACTAAGCTGTTCAGTATCCATCTGAGAAAAAGTATATACTCTTTTGGGTGAGTTATATTTTATCAGGAACCAATACCCAAACGTAAAACACAGATACTACTGAACATCCTAGATTATGACCTTATGAATACCACCCGCTTAGATGAAGCTCCTTAACAAGGACCCGACCCTAACCCCTCAAACAATCACCAATCCTGAATCTCAACCAGATACACCCTACATCGTAACAGCCCCCAAACCTTAAAGTCTAGACCCAGCGCACCTCTTTTGAAACCACTCACTCCTAAACCCATAAACCCCTAGCCAAAGCCCTAATTAAGCCCCTAAGCCCTAAACCCACTTAATATAGGAGCATTAATAGTTAGAATAGGAGTTTGGTGTCTATTATACTATACAATTACAAAATAGGGAACCCTAAACTAGTATTGGTCATGATGAAGACCCCTACATTAAGCCTCAAGCCTTAAGAACACCAGGACCCCGCAAGGCCGGAAGCATGGAAAACTCGGGTCCCAGCGATGCTCCGGTTCATCCCGAACCTGCTTTCTGTGGTTTAGGGTTTAGGGTTTAGGGTTTAGGGGTTTAGGGTTTAGGGTTTAGGGGATTTAGGGCTTAGGGGTTGAGGGCCAGTTTGGGGTTGAGGATTTGTGGTTTAGAGTTGGTTTTGAGGTTGAAGCGCCTTACGGCGGTGTCTAGACGTTTGGACGGAGGTTATGAGTGTCACTAGGATGTTGCTCAGTGCTTCTTCAGGGTGGTACACGGGTTTAGGGTTTAGTGTCTTGGGTAGGAATGGGCTACTGTAGGAGCCTTAATAATTTCAATAGGGTTTTGGGCTCCTTGAGAGTATAACTACCATAAGGAACCTAAGGAATAGTATAGGTAATTACTTTGGCTTCTATATTAGAAGCCCTAAGGTTTAGGGTTCGGGTCTTAGGTTGACGATCTTGCATTGGGTCGTTAGCGGTTAGCTTTCTTTTGCAGGGTTCGCTGTGGGGGTGTATTGCGCATTTTTCGCGGGCAATGCAGGTCCTTGTAGCAGAAGTGAAGTATTGCATTAGGTGGCCGGGTGTTGCAGAATGATTCCCCAACTGTCTCATTAGATGTTGTCCTTTAAACAGCATCTCTAGTGACTCTAGTAGCCTTTTGGCAGTGATAATGTAGGGGCCTTAATAATTAGAATAGGGCTTTGGGCTCCTTTTT